CCCCGGCTCACCCCCCCCGGCTCACCCCCGCAGGGCCTGAGTGAATGAACAGGGATTTGGATTTGAATCCCGGTTCATCTGTGAAGGTGGATCTGAGGTCAGTTCTTGACGAGAACGTGACGACAGGAAGTGGGTGATGTTCTCCTCACCCTGCAGTGATCGGCCATTACAGTGAGCAGTGACGCAGACGAGACAGAACACTGCAGACCATCACAACACACAGGCAGAACAAAGAGCCGCACACACACACACACACACACACACACACACTCATCTAAGAGAATAATTCAACACGTGCTCCAAACTGAACGTCTGCTCGGCTGCTGATTTGAACACCTGCAGGTCAACAGCAGAACTGCAGTCTCACTGATGACACTCCAACAGCTGAGGTCAGTCAGGCTGGAGGTGATGATGACCGGGACTGTACGGTGTTAGAGCGAGGACTGTTATTATTATCGCGTTACGACAGCAGGTGAATCACATCCTGAGAACGTTAGCGAAGTGAAGGAGCAGAAAATGGGAGTTCAGGGAAGAGTTGGGAAAGTTCAGAAACGGTACCAGAGATGGGAGCGCACGGCAAAGGAGGTGAGGAGGTGAGGAAAAGGAATGTCAATGACAGGATGAAGACTTGGGGGGGGGTGAGGGGGGGGTCTGAAAAAAACCTCCATAATTAACAATAACAATAGGATTCACGATTTTTAGTTCACGATAAGATTTGATCACATTTTATTTGAAACAAACAAACTGTGACTAAATACAAAGTTCCTTCTTTTGTCTGAACTCAACTGCAAAATACCATTATTTAGGTGCATAGCACCCCCTACTGCACTGACGGTGTAGTGTCATGGTATGACCGGTGACTTCTTTAAGATAACGCAGCCTACTCCTTACGCGTTGATGTAGGATTCATTTTTTTATTTCAACGGATGAGAATCGTCACTCATTTGTATCGATTTTTAACCGATTCACGACGCGACGTTACCCTGTGAAGTCACAGCTCAGTTTGGTGGTCTGCGCCCGTGAGGCTGTAGTAGGAACAGCAGGTTGGAAGATAAGGTTTTGTTTCTACTGTCACAAACAGCCTCCCGTCACCCTTGCCTCCATCACCCCTTCCTCCCGTCACCCCGTCCTCCCGTCACCCCTTCCTCCCGTCCTCCCGTCCTAGGATCCCATAATCCCAGTACTCTCCCTGGTCTCACCACTGCAGGCCTCAGCTCTTCCCTCAGGGCTTCCCTGGAGCCAAAGTATAGAACAGTGTTCACGTCCCACTCACTCTGTCAGCTTTTTGTTCTGGAGCCAGAATTACGTTGACGATCAGAGCCGACCTGACGGAAGGTTCCGTACGGAAGATACAAGACTTATCATCCGTCGTGTGTGGATCTCACGCCAACCACCAAGAGGAGTCGCTTTTACGTGCACTGCTCTGAACACGTGCACGTAGAGCAGTAAATGTTTCCCATACGGCCGCGGCCATCTGCACCGGTTTAAAAACCAAGTGTTTGCTGTTCAGTTTGTTGCCAACATAAGAAAGTTTGTGAGGATATATCGGGGATTTGTGATGAGACGGATGTTAAAGACGGAGTTATTATTTACCAAAGCTTAACCACGTGGTTACTGAACAAACGAAACATCGTGTAAAAACGTCTTCACTGAAGATTTTTTGGAGAAATTGTTCCTTAAAAAGAAGGTGATCATCAGCATAGAGGGAGAGTTAAAGAACAAATGAAGAAGAACATGGACACAAAGGTTCACCTCCACTGTACCATCAATAGACGCCCCCCCCCCACACCCCCATAATGCACCTGGATACTTGGCTGCTCGATTGCCCCAGTGCAGTGGCTCAGTGGAGCAGGGCTGAGCCGACTGTTGTTGAACTCTATTCTGTCGCAATGTTTTTTCTGTGAAGGCAGAAGTCGGGAAGAAAGGATGTGAAAAAACAGAAGAAGGAACCATGGCAACAGACTTATTTCTGCTCCTCTCTGTGTTGGGCATGTTTACCCACCAGCACAGATAAATAAATACACAGATACGGTACAGCA